CAAATGAGACATCTAATTACTGACTGAAATATCTATAAATAGGTTTATAGTTCAATGTATCACGAAACATACGCGTGACTAGACTTGACTCGCAGTGGCAAAAAGTCTAAGTGACTGTTCCTTAATGATCCGACATTTTTTTTAATTAAAAGTTACACGTTATAACATGTAACAAAAAAATAAATAAATATTGATTCTAAAAGAGCATATTTCATTACATATTTCGTCAGAATTTAATACATTATTATTCTATGCATATTTTATGGTCTTTCGGTGCATTCGCAGCCCAGGTCATAATATACCCTGTCTCAAAATTCATTCGATTGGTGCTTTTATAAAACGGCAACAGAACTACAGACACGTATGTATGAAATATAGCTTAAATCGTTATCTAGTTGTATTTAGAGTTCTAAATAGAATGTTGAAATCTTTTGGCACTCTCAGCGATTAATGATTATATTACGAAAACAGTCAATATGTTCGTTAAATGTTCGATAAATTAATATCGATCAAAATGATAATATTTACGTATATAATACACTCCGCGAAAATTACGGGTGAATTCAATATGTGGATCTGATAGCTGGGCATAAGTTGATATGAGTTATAACATAATATGATATGAGTTACCAAATCCATACTAGAATCAATTATTTATTATATAGAATCACATATTTAATTATTCGGAACAAACAATTACTAAACAGTACCCACCGGCTATACCCGATTCTAGAATGCAACTTATAATAGTTGTACCGATTCATAAACATGATATTAATCAATTATGTTCAAATTTTGAATATTTAATAAAATCTAAAAATTATGTTTGATTAGTTAAAATTAAATAATTCTCAATGTTTAAGAATACCGATAATACTGCACTGATATTTATACTTTAAAATGTCTCTTTTAAAACGAGAAGAAAAAGAAAAACCGGAAACTTTAAAAGTATCGGTATGATTCAAACAGAAAACTAACTACAAGTCGTATACGTATATGAAATCAGAAAGTTTGAAAACTTGTTCGAGCCAATTATTCGGGCCAGAAATGGTCGATTTATTAAACATAACATGATGTACATCGTATAAACAATACATACCGTTTTCGATTGAAGAAAATACAATTGTCGCATATATTATAAGTATTATACAAGACGACTTCACGATTTCAAATTTTATTCGTCATAACCTTCAGACATTAGTCGAACGGAGATTGTCGATCTGTCCGGCAGACAAATCGGGAGGAGACTTGGGTGCGCGTTTTAGTTGGGCAACATACAGCCATAAGTCAACGCCGTTGAAGTAAATGACCCTGAAGAAGATTATGTTTGATCATTATTATTATTATATTTTTCTTAGTCATATCACCCACAGTAGTAGTCCTTATACGCGGAACACGTTATTTTGTCTGAAACGTAAAATGTCCTCATGATGTTATTACACGCGTTCATCGACACAAGGTCTTACGTCGAACCCTTAACGCACGACGATCAAGACGTACACGGGTGATTCGCGCTATTCGTGTCGCTCTCGTGTTTCATCGTGGGATAACGGATTATTTTTAATTCCAGTAAAACGAATCATCGCATGCGCTAACGTCTCGCCCGTAATTGTATAATACATATACACATTTTAACGCTGAAAATATAATCAATGTAATCAATTTTTATGACCACGTCAATTTTACGACATGCAAACGTAATGTTGCGTTTACAACAGAATTCTCATACGCGATTTCGTTAAAATGGGCTAAGAAAAAAATAATGTGTAGCCACGCTTATTTTCCATACATACACAATCACATACATACACATATACTCACATATATACACAATCAGAAATGTATTTCCAACGCGTTTACATTACGTTTACATTACGTTTTGTACGCGGCTACTTAATTTATTCGCATAATTCGGGATTTAAACGTACATAGAGAAGAAAGCGAAGCGTTTTTCTTTCCTTCGGAATCGTTCGGCAACGTAACTAACGCTTTAATAAATAAACAATTTTCTCATTTGCATTTGTTTTCATATTCAAGCGACATCCGCATAGTAGTATACATAGATCGTAGTAATTAACGTCTGTATAAACAGCGCACGTACATTCGTAGCATAAAGCGTATGATTAGAAATTAATGATTTACGATTTCAATGGTATTTAATATTTAATTCGACGAACAATTTATTTTTAATTCGTTTACACGGTATAATTATCACCGCAACATATACGTACGGACCAGTGTCCGTGTTTTTTTTCTCTGTTAAGTTTTACGTATACGTGTCGAGGTGTGCGAAATCGTGGTCGATGTTTGAGCACTCATTAAATACGTAAATCACGTGTCAAGCACCCGTCAAATTCACTAATTTCCACGCAAAAGTGTCCCGCTGATGTTTTAAATCTGAGAGAAATGACCAATAATTTAGTACTTAAAACCGTTTTAAGCGACAATCGCTAGATGATTTTTAAATGGATCGCAGATCTTTTTAAGGTGCTCTTGCATTTTTTCGAATGCCGTTTTTTACTGCTGATATATGTATTAAAAAAATTAACTTTAAAAACAATGTACATGATATTTGATATAAACGAAACTTAATGCTATAAAAACGTTTTCAGAATATATTATATATAAAATGATATCAACTTCGATTTACATATTTTAACATACAACGTGCTTATTATTTGAAAATCAAAATACCTAATCTAAGTGTGAACGCTAAATAATAATTGTAACAAACGACTTAAATGGAGAAAACAATGTTTTCTTTATATATTTTCGCGGCTGTATCAAACACATATAACTGTTATAGAAGTGTTATACAAATATTCCACAAGTCTTTGGACGATGTACAACGTGAGTTATACGTTATATAAATAAAATATTATCATAGATACTATTCAAATGCGTGTGCATGTGTGTAAAATGACAAACTGGTTTAAACGCTTAAACTTTAGTGCTTACGACATCGGTTGACTGTTTATTATTTTTTCGTGGTGAAAAGAAAGAATAATAATATCACCCGTACGTACTTGTGCATTATAATGTACCCAAGAATAATACACGACCGGTGTGTGATTTCTCTTCCACGTAGATTTTTGATAGCCCACGTGACAAGTGGAGGTAACACACGATCGATGACTTTTTATTGGAACCGAGTTCGTTTTTTTTTCCTCTGGACGACGGACGAACATATAATGAGGAAGAGAAACTAATATCGTTCATATAACAGAAGCCGGGTAACAATATCAAATTAAATATATGAATATATGAAATATTCGACAGAGTTATCAAAAAAAAAAAAAAAAAAAAAATGAAAATAAAATAAAAAACCGAAAGTAGACTTTCAACATATTTTGTCAAATGATAATGAGAATGGTTGGTTTTCGAATTAACACCCAAACTCATTAATAATACGTAAATAAATATCGTGACTTAAACAGTATATTCTATACGCCATATACCATATAGTTGTGGAAGGGCATAGTTGTCATTACAGGGTAACGAGGGGTAACCATTGGTACCCCACAATTTTATTGGGGTAGCAAATTAATAGCTATGACATCCCATGAGAAATGTATGTAACATTTTATTGTTTTTTTCAGAAATTAATCAAATATAATCTTAATCTATCTATATATATAAAATCAAAATACCACTTAGTCACTGATCGTTGATTGTTGTATTTTTATCAACTCTTATGAACAATTCACTAGGACTTATCCTTCTAAGGACACGTGTTCTAGAGGTCAATTATGTAAATTATGCTCAATATTTCACAATATGTTATTGTGTATTATGTATTTAGCGTTCAAAGTGTTAAATTTTGACTAGTTTTATTTTTTTTAAAAATTCACACAGTCAATGTGGGAGGGGGTGGGAGTGGGCTGAAGCTTATTAGCCATCCTTCTTCTGGGTTGCCAATGTTGCTACCCTATGGTTTTATTCCAAATGACGTTCTTGTGGAAAGGAATTATTATCTGCAAGTAGAGTTTTACTACAGTGGTTTAATCGTCTGCAGCATGCAGCACTAAAAAATCAAGAAAAAAAAAGATATTTTATTCGAATAATTTTGCGATGTCTCATATTATTATTATTATTATTATTATTATTATTATTATTATTATTATTA